CATAAACTCGCTAAGCAGTAAATTCGCTGTTGGGTTCAGTTGCTAGGTGCAACAATTCGGAAGTTGCTTTACAATGTGATTGTTCAGCTGTTGGGAATTTTCCACGCAATTTTCTTTTAATTGTCGCATTCACTAACCCAAACTAACTGAGTTTTTTCTCATTGGACAGCCACATTAAACACAAACCAGTTTCATTAAGTGGAAAAAAATGGCCTGGTAATAATGGACACTTAAGCTCGCGCTGAAAGTTCTGGAAAATGAATTCGCAATTATGATTTGGAGCGAACAAAGGGCCGCTCGCAATATAAACAAAGGATTAGTTTTCATACCTGTCTAACATCGGAAACAAAGGAAAACGGGAATAATTTATATGCTAAACAACGAGCCATTGCGAATTGTTAAATGCTTGAGCTGCTCAGCTGTTGCTCATTCGAATTAGGATCCAGATAAAGAAAGTTGTGCAATAAACTATATCTATGTTGGCGGTAATTTCCAGGCAAATCCAACCCCTGAAAAGCGTAATTAATTATCTTAAAAGGTCCAAAGGCATAAACGGAACGACATTTCCGCAAATATGCTCGAGCTCTTGCATAATATTTACATAAACTGATACAACACTCAGTATCAACATATCCTATCCTCGAGTTTCCGGCATATTAACTTCAACTTTACCCTAACTCAAAGCAAAGAGACGGCACTCTGAATGCAGGATAAATAAAAATATGCGACCTGGTAAATAAATGTAGCGGAAAAGTGCATTCGGTGTTGCACAATATTTCTTATAGAGGCATTGTTTGGCTCCAACTAAGCAAATTGTGCGAACGCATATGGGGAAGGATTTCATATATTCTACTAATTGGAAATGCGAATATCTCTATGCGATTTCCGGATCTATTTTGAATTTGCCCAACTAATTAATCAATTAGCCAGTAACAACATGTTCTCTATCCGTGATTTAGTATCTAATAATAGAATGTCACATTGCTGGAATGCAATTTGCGGTCGCAGGTAATCCTGGGCGTTTAATTTAAATTGAGTGTTGAATCGCCAAAATTCTTGCGGCAATTAACTTAATTAGGAGCAAAACGTGTTTCGCAATCGTTTGTCGTTTTCTGTGACTTTCTTCATCAAAACCCTGGCACTCCAACAGCTTAAATAACCATTTTTTAAGTGATTCGATTAGTAATTAACGCATTTGCTGATTAAACTAGATGTGCATCTGAAGTGAAAGCCAAATTGGGTTTGGCTATCAACGTATTGTCTATATTAGGGTTTAATCATGTGTGCTTGAAATCCCATCTAGTCTCTATGATAGAACGACGATTTAATGGTGTTTTCCTAATAGGCTGATTGCAGCTTTGGGAGAAAAATGAGGCCAATATTTGTGTTTTCCTAGTCGCTTTGTTCTCAATATTTTTCCTTTTCAATTATTTATAGCTATTTTAATTTTTTCACATGCAACTTTTCATTTCTTTTTTGTATATTTCCAACTCAATTCAACAGGTCCAAAAACCCCTGCTCTGATTCTGCTATCAACGTTTAATCGCCACCAAGAATGTAATATTTTTCCCGCAGTTGAACATTTTCGATTCTAGCCATCCAAGAGAAGAAGCCGACCGAACGCTTCTTCGAGTCTTAAGAGGGAAAAAGTGCTGTTTCTTGATTCCGCTTTCTGGTTATTTTATTGTCAATTTCATTTCCGACTGATCTGGAATTGCATTTTTGCTGCGAATTTTGTCTTGTTTTGCTTCGTCTGTCACAAAAACGTGTTTTATTAGTTTTTGAGGTTTTATTTTGATGTGCTCCTTCATTTTTATGAACTGCACTGCAATACCCGTTTTAATTAAAGCTTTTTTCATCAACTTTTGCTAATAATTTCCTTTAGATCCATGCTTTTTTACTTGCTTTGAATCTGTTTGCTTCAGTTTACTCTCATTTTCCAAAAATAAGTTCCCCTATTAATTCGTAGTTTTTTACATAGTTAGTTTGCGTTTATTAACTTTTTCTGGTTGGTTCTTTCGAAGTTATCTCTTCTAAATGGAGGAAACTATTATATGAACCGACACGAATAAATAAAAACATCAATGGTTTTGTATGTTAACGGTTTAATTCAATTGCCTTCTGTTTTAGTGAGAATTTGGTCTTTGATTTCATTTGTGGTTTTATTTCGAGTAGTTGTCTATACAGAAGTTTTTGCGTGTTTTAATGTAATTTAAATGGCTCAAAATATACATGAGGATTTAAAACGCTTTTAATTTTACTGAATTAATATATCGTGTATTAAAATGTGTAATTTCTTGGTTAAAAAGATTTGACCACAATCTATTTATGCAATAAATTGTATACTTGTGTGCATATCAGTCTGTGCATGTGCATATCAGTCTGCATAATTATTTTGGCTTTGCATTTTGTCTTTCTAGTATTAATTGCACAATATATGAAATTTATTATCATCATTAAAATATTTCAGTGAAAACCTGGTGTTTTTAACAGCTTTTATTCGTCTTTCTCTGTAGGCACTTAACTTTTGAGAATACTCAAGCAGCGCAAAGACTACCTAACTTTGCTCCTAATATTTTCGTAACACTTTTTTAGTGCACACGCTTTACATAATATTGTAGTTTATATCTTTGATTTTGTTTGCAAAAGTGTGGAAAAATTAGAAAACGGTTCACGTATTTGTACGCGAAATTTTAAGTCTCTATCTGCTCTACTGTGCAAGTGTCATATTAGCTACTAGCAGTTAAGCTTGAAATTTGCAAAATTTACCATAATTTGCTGGAAAATCCTGATTTACAGAGAAAAAAATTACTCGAATTGGATCTACACGAACTCAAAAAGTTTTTGATAAATTTTTGCTTGCAATATTTTTTTGAGATAAATGTGCGCGTAAATGCAAAATGAGCATTTTGCGGCTAAAGTTTGGCCGTTTTTTTAAATTCAGGCGACTTTGCAAGAAAATTTTCTTTTCAAAACAGTGCAGTAGAGCTTCAACTTTTTGGTCTCAAAACTTTAAGTCTCTATTTACTCTGATGCCCGAGATACGCTTTTTGTAAAAAGATGTGCACGTAAGTGTATATTTTTAGAAATTTCTAATTTTTGCAAAGAGCCCACTAGATTTTTTCTTATTCGGACTTGAACGTTCAAGACTACCGACTACGACGTTTCTAAAGAAAATGTGCTCGTAAGTGTCATACGACTTGCTTGCTGTTAATTTGTTTAATCACCCAAATTTGCAAGAAAATGTTAATTTAGAAAGTCTCTAGATGCATTTTTGTCCAAAATATGCCTTTTTATTAAAATGTGCGCGTAAATCTGATATGAGTTATGGCGTTTTTTTATTTTATGGCAACTTTGGAATTTTTTTTTCAAATCAAGCGACTATATTACAAAATTTAAATTTTCTGGACGAGTGCAGTAGAGCTTGTCCTATTCGGGTTCAAAAGTATCTACCAGCTCTGTTGTCCTGCCTGTCTAAAATGAGCTCAGAATGTCAAGTGTCCAAAGATGCATTTTGGTCCGAAATATCTTTAAACATTTTAAGTATTTCTGTGCTCTGCTGCTACTTTTTTACAATTTCGCATTTATATTTTATATTTGTCGTGTACAGTCTGTTTCTGCTTAATGTGCCGTAATTTCTCAGTTCTCGATCAATAATATCTCTGACTTGATACTTCCATAAGCATATATCTGATATTTAAATAGTTAATTTGATTTAACTGTTCCCATCATTCCCTTATTCTGTTCTTTCTACTTAGTTTTTATTTCTCGCAGTTTATGAGTTTTTCTTCATTATCTTTTCAGGATTTCCTCTCAGCTTTTGCTTAGAACTCCATGTTTTCTTCTATCTCTGCTCGGTTTACTTGACCCTTGCATTGCAACGATTGCTCTGTCTTTTCTTCCATTATTTTTCAAAGTATTTTAATTTTAATTTTTCGCGACGTAGTGAAACAATTGTATAAAACGGCATGAATCAATCAAAGCGTCACTCTTTTTGGTTGCTAAAGTTTTTCTTCAATTTTTATGTATTTTGCTTGCAACTCTGTTTTTCAATTTAATTTACTTCATGTTCAATTTCTGTTTCGTTTGCCTTGCATTAGTTTTAATCATCTTGCACTCGGTGAATTGCTTCTTTAAAATTCCCTGTTCGTCTTTGCCCCAACGTTATAACTAAATAAAACGTCTTAGGAGGTCTGAAGATCCATCTAGGTAGGATACCTATCCGCTACTCCCTCTTAAAAATATTTCCTTTGCTGCTTCTTCATTAAAATCTTCTAGCACAACAATTGTGTCTTAATTAGCTGTTTCTTCGTGTTTGGCTTCAAGATTTGACTCTTCTGTATAGCCATCAAAAGCCCTGACTAAATTATCAAAATACTGTTGAAATCTTCAAACAAACGACCATTTAAACGAGTCTAGTGAATTAAAGCGAGCGATTTCACTCAGAACAAAATGAGCGACATTATCTGGATGGAATCCGGACAGAGTAGCAGACAAATGAATCACGTTATCAGATGCGCCTCGCCAGTGGGACATAATTAATCAAATCCCCGGATTCTGCATGATTTTAACGCCATTCGATTGCTGAAGAGTGCTGATGTAAATGTGTTTTCTCTTTCAGCTAATTTGCTGCAAAATTCGCACACAACAACGAAAGTAGAAAGCGAAGCTTCAAGGACGCACCAAAGATTTATAGGGACGCATATTGAACGAAAGTTTTATTTATCACTTCAATCTCCTGGAGTCGGCTGGATACGATTCAATTTGTTTACTGGACACCGATGTGTAACCTTTATCGATGCTGTGGCAATGACAAATTCTTTATATTACGGGGACAAAACAAAAGGAAATTATCGCTGAGAGCTTGTCGGGAACCTTTTTTCGGCCTTTTTTCTGAGAATGAAACGCTTATACCTGGACAAGGAAGAATTGGCAATAAATTTGCTGTGGGAAGCTCACTAAGTGACCGTATTCAACACCGTGCTGAAGTAAAAGAGAAGTTCCCAAATGTACAGTACGTTTATTAAACTTGATCCTACACAAAACAACCTAAGTAGAAGTCAGTCCTCCTCTCACCATGCCTGGTAGGCTGGAACTGCGTGGTACGCCACTGGAGCTGCATAGGCGATGGTCTTTTGCACCACTGGAAGCGAGTAGGCCACCACTGCAGGTTTACTGATGATGTCTTCCCTGTAGGTGCTGCTTACAGCAGCTGGGGCGGCTACAGCTTCAACTTCCAAAGCTTCAACTTCCGCTGCCTTGGCTTTGACCTCTTCAGTGGTAGTTTCAACCGGAGCAACTGTGGTTGGCTCAGCGAGGGCTGCTTTAGCTTCAACCACAACGGGCTCGCTGATGAGCTCTTCTTTGACCTCAACTGGAGCTACAACGGCTGCCGGTTTGCTGATGATATCTTCTCTATAAGTGCTGCTGACTGCAGCTGGAGCTATGTAGGTATGAGCAACTACCGGAGCAGCTACATAGCTGACTGGAGCTGACGCCACGTAGGTCTGAGCGATGAGTGGTAGAGCGACTGCAGCTCCATGAGGCTTAGAAACAGCTACTGCCACTAATGCGAACAACACCACCAGTTTGAACATTTTCGTTTAGGTCTGTGTTGGACGTGTGAGGACTGACTGACTTCGACTGATGGCCGGAAAAAGATTGATGGCAAATTTATAGCAGAATCACTGCTATGTGTGTGATCAAACAATGCGGCGATCTTGAAAGGGGAGACCTCGGAAATAAGATCAAAACTGCATTCTTTGTGTGGGCCAAAAACTGGATTTTGCCGCTAAATGTCAAGTTGCTACTAGTTAATTAGGTTTTTTCTTCACCAATTATATGCAGGAAATTTCTATTCGTGCAGTTAATTGGCTGTGGTGCTCTGGTTATACGCAGTGGTTCAAAACTGGCTACATTTTTTTGAAGGAGCTGCTTGTTGTCTCGGAATTTAAGTGGTTGGGTGCCATAATTTGAGTGCGAAAACTAGAAGTTAGGAGGTAAATAAATAACTGTTGAAAAAAATTTTTTGGTTCATTTTTTTACAGTTTTACGCCGGTTTCTAGTTATAATCAGGTAAAATAGTCCACCGGTTGGCCAATGTTGTTAATCGGTATATTGAGCAAAGTCTGACAAAATATTAAGTTTCTAACTTTTGTTCGCAATTTATGTTCTTCATTCTATAACACAATTTTTGCCAAATTAATTTTTAAATTGCCCACTTCCTGATTTCTGCTTTTGTTGAGGGAACCTGCTGAAAATCGAAAAAATCGCCAAACATTTCAACCAGAAGAATTATTTAATAAGAATAAGAATGTAATTGATCATAGCAAACGTATAGAGCGAAAATGTATAAATAGAGGTCATATAGAGAACTATTCCTTTTTCCTTATTGTTTTTACTTTTTAAATCTATTGCAGCAATAAATATCGTTATTTTCTATACGATGTTTCTTTCTTTACCGTATTTTAAGACTTCTTTACTTTGTTGCTTTTGTAATTTTCAAACCAATTTACAATTTACAATTGTATGTAATATACGGGAAAATCTATTTTTTACTTATTTTATATTATTTTTATTTCAGATTTTGAAAATCTGGTAATAAAAACCAAGTTTTGCATTCCTTGCACAATTTTTTTAAATAAATGATCTAAGTGTAGTGTCAACTTATGAGAAATCACCCTGTACTTAAATCTCCGACAAATTCCAGAGATCCAGAAATTCCAAAAAATGAGTGATTAGGAATCTTTTCTTTTCTAATGGCTTTGCTTTCACAGTTTTTGCTGATTTTTTAAAGAGATGTTTGTTTCCATTTGTTGCACAATCTTATGATCTTAACTGTAGCAATATTTCTGTTCATCTTGTAGAACTTATTTGTTGTTCTCATTTCATCGGCTTTTTTTCTTTTGATTTCCTCTAAATGATTATTTTACCTAACTACTATTTCAATTTTGCTGTTTTCATCGTTTGAAATGCTCTTCATTTCTATCTTTTTTTTGGTACATTGTTCGTCTCCTTGCATTTTCGAGCTTCAAGAATATTCCTGCAATCACTTAAAATAAATACTGTAATATTTATTGATCAATTGTACATTATACACATATTATATAATGGCACATCAATTGTGCCATTATACAGAGTGCTTAAATTTTTATCTTGATGACTCCGAATGTCCGAAACCATTTAGATATTTTTTAATATCATTTATCATAAACCTGAATCTCTCTGTAGATTGTATTGAGGTTGAACCTCCTCAGCAAGGGCAGATCCAGGGGGGGTCATGGGGGTCATGACCCCCCCATTCAATTCTCTATCCAACGATGCCAAAACAAATTCTGTGGCTCAAATGGTTCTTGAGAAACTTCGAAAAAAACAGCGTCATGTTCAAGTTAATTTTGCAACTCAAAAAAAAACCACGCAAACATAAAACTTCTTGAATTCAATCATTTTTTGAGAAAACTGCCAACATTTCCTAATTGATGGTTGACGTTCTAAAAAGGCAATTTATTTCTCTCTAGAATGATGTACAAATGAGCGTTCTTGCTCATTTTGCCTCCGAGAAATGAGCAAACATGGGACGGAAAACATGGAATTTTGGCATAATCTTGCAGCTAAGCGTCTGATATTCAAATTTCGCTTTCTGGGTCAAAACTACTAGAATTTCCTCACTCACGTTGTTACGACTGAATCGAGTGTGGCTCAAATGGTTCTTGAGAAACCTCGAAAAAAGCAGCGTCATGTTCAAGTGGATTTTGCAACTCAAAAAAAAAACCGCGCAAATCTAAAACTTCTTGAATTCAAGCCTTTTTGAGAAAACTGCCAACATTTCCCCATCCATGGTTCACTTTCTAAAAAGGCCATTTATTTCTGCCTAGAATGATGTAAAAAAACTGATCAGTTGCTTCACCGAACACCATTTAAAACTGCTGAGTTTTAAAGCGATTAGACCACCGTGGAATAGAATGTCTTTCCGAGGTTTCGCCAGCAGGAGTGGCTTACATGATCAGAGTGGTGGTGTCCTAAAAACTACCCAGTTTCCGAACCAGGGCGTCGAACGCCCTCTTTCGATAAAACCACTAAAATTTGAGGTTATTTGTTGAGAGCATCAAATGCTTCAAATCAAACAAAACAAAAATTTGATTCCAAAAATTCCAATTTATTTTTTAATAAATTATTTATTTACACAGTCTGYAAAATGGGTCAGTTCTCTCTCTACCAGGCGTGGACAGATGGGGCGGCGTATGCGTAGGCAGCAGGGGCGGCATAAGCGTAAGCAGCAGGGGCGACGATGGTCTTGGCTACCACTGGGCTGCTGATCAAGTCGCTTCTGTAGCTGGAGCTCACCGCTGCTGGGGCGGCGTAGGCGACTGGGGCGGCGATGGCCTTAGCAGCGTAAGCTACAGGGGCGGCATGCACCAAAGGAGCGGCGTAGGAGACAACGGAGGGTTTGCTGATGATGTCCTCCCTGTAGGTGCTGCTGACTGCAGCTGGGGCGACGTAAGTCTTAGCTACCACAGGGGCGGCTACAACAACGGGCTCAGCTACAACGGTCTTGTGCACAACAGGGGCGGCAGCGTAGGTGATGGCGGCAGGCTTGCTGATGATGTCTTCCCTGTAGGTGCTGCTGACTGCTGCGGGCGAAACGTAGGTGTTAGCCACGATGGGAGCCACATGGTATTGGCTGGGCTTGGCTGCCGCGAAGGCAAAGAGAGCGAACAACACCACCAATTTGAACATTTTGTTGCGTTTAGGTCTGTGTTGCGAGTCTGAAGACTAACTGACTGTGACTGATACTAAACCCATGGCAAATCTGGGTATTTATACGAAACCAGCCAACACATACATTCAATGATCTTGAAAGACATGGACCTTGGCCATCGGAAACAGGATCAAATTTTAGTGACGATGACGCGCACTGTGTGTTGCATTAATTCTTTTTAGCAACCGCGAAGCGTACGCGGTAAACGGAATGCCACAGGCAATGAGGCAACGCCCAATCGAAATGCTTAATTCTTGTAAAAAGTACACGAAGGACACGTGGTTTTGAGCAGTTCTTTTGTCAGCCAAGAAAAGAACGAGGGGCTTTGCACCCGGACGTGGGAAAAATGTGGTCGAATGCTCAACTTTTTTTTAAAGTGCATTTTAAATTGGCTTCTTCGAGGTGTTGGGGTAAAAGAAGACTGCAGTCGCAGTAAAAAAAGCTGTTTGGAGTACCATTGAACGATCTTCAGTTGGCTTGGATGTTGAACCTTGTAAAAAAGCAGACGTTTTGTAAAACGTGTGTACTTTATAGGCCTAACGCAAATCAGAATTTTATAGAAAATCATGAAAACATGGTAGCTTTATATATCGCGTTGTCTTCAAATCCTTAGCATATATCACCAATATCCATACGCAAAATGGACATTCATTGGATGAAGGTCTTACCAACTACATGCAAAGAAAATTAGCAAAAGACATGTTCATATCTCTCGACAGGAAAGAGTCAAATGGCGTAAAGTCTGCGGATCTGAGTGTCCACTCATTGGGACCTCATCTCCTAGTCCATTTATTTGGAAAATTTGGATACGTTGTCCAACCGAAAATACTTAATCAGGGCTATATAATATATAATATACAGGGTTATTCACGCTATACGGCACGGACGTTTGCGGCTAGCCCGTTTGTTTTTTGCAAAGTATTATTTGATAAATCCACAAACGCGTATCGAGTGCATATTTTAAAAA